CCCCAAAACCCCAAAACCCCAAAACCCCAAAACCCCAATTTTCAGGCTTCTTGTAGATAATTTAAACACGATAAAAATGGAACAAGGTAAGATTGCTAAAAATTTCAAAGATCTCAATACAAGGCTTTATGGTCTTGTTGCTTTATTTCAAAACAATTCATAATGAATATAGGTCCCGACCTTAGTAACGCAGAGATAGTCACCCAACTCTGAGAAGCACTTGAGAATAGTTTGAGCCCAGATAACGAGATTAGACGTAATGCAGAAAAATTTGTAGTCGATTCAATGCCCATGAACGGCTTCTGATCAGCTATGTTACACATTGCGACAGAGAAGAAGTATATGGAAGGCAGGAAAGTTAATGTAGCCCAAGCAGCAGCAATCCAACTTAAAAATATGGCAGAATTCTACTGGAGATTCAAAAGTGTCGAGCATGCTCAATCAGTTACTGTCCCTGGAGAGAGATATATCATCATTCAAGATGAAGATAAAGACTACTTTAGGAACAATATTTTGGAACTTACCCTCAAATGTGATGATGAAGCAGTAACCAGACAGCTGAATTACGCTGTACACTGTATTGTCAGGCTAGATTTTCCAGAAAAATGGCCTGCTTTAGCAACTCAAATCCAAGAATATATTTTCCAAGAAGAGGATGAAAACAAAATTATCCTGGGAATAGAATCACTCGGGTCTGTCTGCCGTAGATACGAGCATGAGTACGACAAAGCAAGGGATCCTCTTAATGAGATCGTTAATACTCTTTTCCCCAAATTAGAAGAGATCTTTGGGAAAATACAAGATAACAGCTCAGCAGTGGCAAACTGTAAGTGGGAATAGTTTCATAGTTCTAGTGATTAAATTTAAAATTGCAGAGTTGTTCTACCTGACCAATCATTTGGAGATCTGCAAGAGATACCATGGGCAAGAAGAGTTCGCTAAACTTATGAATTTCTTTAAATTCATCATTGAAGGGAACATTGATGAGTCATTAGTTACGAAAACCGATGATAGTGATATTATTTTCAAAAGAAAAAAGTCTAATGAGTGGAAGATCAAAACTATAGCTATGAGATTTTTCTTAAGGACTTTTCAAAGATATGGAAATTCAAAAATGTTCGATGAGAAAGATGACAAGGAGTTCTTCGATCATATTTGTAAGCCCCTGAAGTGCTAAATAATATAGGTTCTACCTACAACACAGTTATGATTGATTGTGCTTATGCAGTAGTTGCTCAGTCACAGGATTATTTCATTTCTCCAGATTTGCTGGGCTATGCCATTAAGGTCTGCACTCAATCACTGAAAATACCTAACACGAAGGATTACTTACTTCCTAAGAGTAAGGAGATCATTGAGAATTACATGATCCCGATGGTGCAGGTGACTAATAAAGATATCGAAGACTTCTATGACAACCCTGTCGACTTTATCAGGAAAATGAAAGATGTCACAGAGACATTCTACTCCTGTAGATACTCAGCCATCGAATTCATTTTGGTAGTCTTGAGCTTAGGAGAAACTCCAGATCAGGGCAATGAAACTTTGGATCAATTTATACAATATATTGTCGATCATCTGGATCAATCCAGCACAGATAATGAAGAAGCCTTTAAATCCAGAGATGGATTTCTATTTATACTTGAGCAATTTCATCTTTTCTTTAGAGGAAAGCTTGACTATTTTCCTAAAGTTGAAGAGATCATTCAGAAATTTGCCTTTCCTGACTTAAAATCCGAAAATGGGTTGGTAAAATTCCGTGCATGTAAACTTTACGAGCAATTAAGTATGTGTGTACAGGACCTAGAGCACTCAAAAGCAGCATCTGAGATAATTTTTGAGCTCCTAAAAGACAACGATATTGCTGTGAGAATAGCTGCTTCTGGGGCTCTCCAGAAAATGATTGGCAAGTCATCATTAAAACCTATTTTCGCTCCTCAGCTAGGAATCATTCTGGAAACTTTCCTTGAAATTATGAATGATTTTGAAAATGAAGAATTAGTCAACTCTCTTGATAGAATTGTTGAGATATATGCAGACTCTATTGGACCCTTTGCAATCCAGATCTGCGAAAAAGTATCAGAAAGCTACTGGAGAATGCTTGAGATTGATGAAGAATGTGCTGAAGGAGAACTCGGTGCAATGGGATGTGTCACGATTATTAAGACTATCTTCCAATCAGTACAGAAGGATCAAGATCTTCTTCTCAGATTGGAGAAAATATGTGCAAGAGTCTTCGCACATTGCACTACTCCTGATGGAATGGATTCTATTGAAGATGTAGTCGCTTGCGAATGCTTGATCATGCATCATTTCAATGTAATCACTGAAGAGATCTGGGGAATCGCCCCACAACTATTGAATGTCATCATTGGCCCTGATGACGAAGAGGAAGGAGGATTTGGATTCGAGCATATAAGCTCTATGGTAGACTTTTTCAGAAATATTCTACGTCTTGGAGGAGAACAACTATGGACAAGAAAAATCGGAGACCATGCTTTCATTGATGTTTTCCTACACGGTATGAAGAAATGTATTAAGATTACTAACAACTTTGATTACTCTCAGACAGGGACTCTCTCAGTGTTTATGATCATGACTTCTTTCTTTGAAAACAACCCAGGACTTATAGATAAAGAGTTATCTGAATTCATCGAGTTAACAATCAATGAATTAGTAAAAGAGGAGACAGCTTCCTATGCTGCAAAGGTTATGTGCGAGTTCCTCTTCACTTGTCTATACTACAATGCTGGGCTGATGTTCCAAGTTCTGAATAACCTTAATGCAATTGAGTCAGTTTCAAAAGCACTTTTTGGTAATTTGCAGCAGTTTAAGAGCATAAGTGCAACCTCCACTGTGATTTATGGAATCACTTCAATTCTGAGATTGCCTGTCGGAGATCTCCCCGGCCCCATCAAGGAAGAGATGACATCTATTTTCACAGCTCTTCTTGACTTGATTCAGCAGTATTCTTCAGCCAAAACAGAAGATGAGAAGGAAGAAGAGGAAGACGCAGGTAAAATTCATCCTTTAATTTCTGCTTTTTAAGTTTATTGTTATTTAATATTAATCTATAGATCCTTTGGAGAATGCTCATGAAGACGAAGAGGATTATTATGATGATTTCCCTGATGGAGAAGATGACATTTATGACGATGAGCACATGATAAAGGATGCCATCCTCGGGCTTTATAAAGGAGTATTTGAGCTTACTCCAGCTCCATTATTCTTCAAACAGGTATTCAGTGAAATTCAGACGACTAATGCTGAGATGTATGAGAGTTGAGTCCAGCTTATCTCAAGTGATCGTCAAACAACTCTGCAATCTATCTTTGATCAATGTGAGCAGAGTAGATAAATTTATAAAGATTACTGCTTGAAATCTCTATCTAATAAAAACAGTTTTATAATCGTTACTTTTAGGATAAATGTCTAATCCATTATAAAAACTCATTTTGAAATAATAATTCTAAACAATGCTGTTTTCGTACATCATTTACCACCTTAATCTCTAAGATAACTATCAATAAACTTTGAATGATATAATTTTTTCCTAAAAAGTACCCAAAAATCAAATATTTCTAGTAAAATTTTCGAATTCATGTAAAATTCCTTGAAACTTGCAATGAAGCCTCTTTTACCCTCTAAATAATTGGTAGCATAACTTTGAGGACAAATTTGGCTTTTGGATTCTAAATTTAATGTGTAGTTCAACTAGAGCATTCAGATTGGGGTTTTGGGGTTTTGGGGTTTTGGGGTTTTGGGGTTTTGGGG